CCAGTGACATCTTAGATCGCTGCATTATAAAAATGTAATTTGGTTTATGTACCTGTAGGTCACAGGAAACTAAATTATCATACAAACACTAGCATGGTTAGTGGGATGTGGCAGCTGATCACTAACAGACTCTCTAGGCCTCAGTTTCTCAATCTGGTTAACAATTAGCCTGGCCAACATGGTGAAACCCTGCCTTTACCAAAAAATGCAAAAATTAGCCGGGTGGCTGTAGTCCCAGCTACTCAGGAGGCTGAGGTGGGAGAATCACTTGAAAGTGGGAGGTGGAGGTTGCAGTGAGCTGAGATTGCACTACCGCACTCCAGCCTGAGCAACAGAGCAAGAGTTTCAAAAACAAATAAATAAAAAATTAAGCAAACACAATCCACATTCACGTGGAGGGCTGATGTTTACTCAGAATTAAACACTCTAATAGGCTAGGTGCGGTGGCTCACGCCTGTAATCCCAGCCCTTTGGGAGGCCAAGGCAGGCGGATCACAAGGTCAAGATATCAGGACCATCCTGGCCAGTATGGTGAAACCCCATCTCTACTAAAAATACAAAAACATTAGTCAGGCATGGTGGCTCGTGCCTGTAATCCCAGCTACTGGGGAGGCTGAGGCAGGAGAATCACTTGAACCTGGGAGGCGGAGGTTGCAGTGAGCCAAGATCACACCAATGCACTCCAGCCTGGCAACAGAGCAAGACTCAGTCTCAAAAAAAAAAAAAAAAAAAAACCCAAAAAACAAACTCTATGAAATAGGAGGGCACCAGAAGCCTAGCAAAGGACAGGTGCTTCATATATTAAATGGATAAATGCCCATTCATTCAACAAATACGCATGCCTACTATGTGCCAGTAACTGCTCTAAGTGCTTGGAATAAAAAACAAAAACAAAACAAAGCTCATTGCCTAGTGGAGCTCACATTCTAGTTGGGGTGGGAAGAGAGGAAGAAAGGTAAGAAATAAATACATCGAGGCCAGTTGTGGTGGCTCATGCCTGTAATTCCAGCACTTTGGGAGGCTGAGGTGGGCAAATCACCAGGTCAGGAGTTTGAGACCAGTCTAGCTAACATGTTGAAACCCCATCTCTACTAAAAATACTTTTAAAAAATTAGTTGGGCATAGTGGCAGGTGCCTATAATCCCAGCTACTAGGGAGGCTGAGCAGGAGAATCACTTGAACCTGGGAGGCAGAGGTTGCAGTGAGCTGAGATCACGCTACTGCACTCCAGCTGGGAGACAAACTGAAATGCCATCTCAAAAAAAGAAAAAAAAAAGAAATACATCACACTAAAAGAAAAAAAAAAAGAAATACATCACACTAAAAGAAAAAAAAAAGAAATACATCACATAGCCTCTTCTAAGGTAGTGTTATGGAGGAAGGTAACATAGCCTAAGGTGGAGCTGGGAGATGGAAGGGGGTGTCTGCAATCTGAAAGAGAGTCTGAGGATGCTTCCTTGAGGTGACACTGAAAGGCTTCTGCGACATTTCCCTCTTCACTCCATTTAGCAAGATTTCTGTAGGTAGGACATCCCTGGATCCCGCCACACCCGTCCTTCCTCCACTTCCTGTCTTTAACAGTCCTTCTAGGAAAGCTGTGGCTACTCTTAATTGAGGTGTTTTTTTTAACTTCCTCCTCCATCATGACAGCATAAACTCATCAGAAAACCATGCAAAATCACAAGCAAGCTTTTGAGGGCAAACTATGGGCATGTTATAGACTAAATTGGGTGTTCGGGGAGGGATTTTTGGCTGAACTCTAATGAGTAACAGCAATATTACTTGACATTTTGGGGGCTTTATAACATCATTTGTTTATGGAGGAGTAAAATATACACATCCTCCTGGGAGTTGGCCTGGATCTCCAGTCATCATTTGCCTAAGTATACATTTTGGACATGTCAGCAAATGTGTAAATAGCATACATTTAAGGAAATTTGATACTGTCTACAGAGAATCACGCTACTTTATAATCCCTCCTTTTCTCTAAAGAATTCATTCCTTTACTTCAAAATTGGAGAAACCTGAGTATTTTTTTTTTTTTTTAATCTAAAACCCATACTAGCAAGTCATTAAAAAAAAAAAACTTGCAGGTGGCTTTTGTGAGCACACCTGGTTGGGTTGCTTTTCTATTAGTAAAATACTGTAGATGGTCAGGTAACATAAAAGGATGCCTCTTCTTTTTTTTTTTTTTTTTTTTGAGACGGAGTTTCGCTCTTGTTACCCAGGCTGGAGTGCAATGGCGCGATCTCGGCTCACCGCAACCTCCGCCTCCTGGGTTCAGGCAATTCTCCTGCCTCAGCCTCCTGAGTAGCTGGGATTACAGGCACGCGCCACCATGCCCAGCTGATTTTTTCTATTTTTAGTAGAGATGGGGTTTCACCATATTGACCAGGCTGGTCTCGATTCTCTTGACCTTGTGATCCACCCACCTCGGCCTCCCAAAGTGCTGGGATTACAGGCTTGAGCCACCGCTCCCGGCCAGGACGCCTCTTCTTAAAAGCGCTAGGTTCATCAACACTGCCAGATTTTTGCCATATTAAGTTGAAATTATTTTCAGCTTGAACATCGAGGCGGGGGCGGGGAAGAACCAAACACAGAGGCGGTGAAAGGTTTTTCAAACCCCTAGATGTACAATTTTACTTTGCATTTCCTTCATGGCCAAAGCATGGGCTAACAGACATCACTATTTCATAGCTGACATAAACTTGTCGTCTGATGCTGTAAATTCTTATCCTACCACCTGGACATTAAAAAACCATGATCCCAAAACACTAATAAGGGAATAGTAATTAAAATCAATCAACAAACATTTAGTGAGCTTTCCAGTATGCTTTCAGACACCTGGCAATGGAAAGCTAAAAGGTACTGGTCTTTGGTCTCCTTACATAGCTTTATGTTTACAAACACGTACAACCAAAATGACAAAATCCACACTGTTTCCATTCTTTGGGTAATACGACATGCCCAAGAGGCTGGCATTTGTGACGCCTTGGTAAAGTCCCTCTGACAAATCATTACTAAAAGCCAGTAAGAAGCGGGAGTAACGGTATTTACTCTGAACACCTGACTGCTGGTCTCAAGCTGCTACCGCAGCTGATACTGGGAAGATACACAGCGCTCTGTTCTTGGAAGGAGGGCAGAAGGCAGTGGTGTTCTGCACCCCAGCAGATATCAGACTCTGACACAAATCTGCAATAATCTGTGTTCCTCAATTACACGGTTTTCCCTTCACTGACAATCATCACAGCAGCTACTACTTACTTCCCAGGTCAGAGTCCAGCCGAAAGAACGTTTTATTTACACACGGTCAGCACCCTACACCTCCTGCAGCACCGTCTTCCGGGTCATTTAAATAGTGGCAATCTCAGTACAAACGTAGGACTTTAACATTCGAATTTCCCAAATTTCTAAAGATTGCCCTCTATGAAGGCAACACACCAACAGGAAAAGTTTTTGGTCACAGTGGCTGAGCATCAAAAACGCTCTGTCAACCGTATCTACTCTCCCTATCTGTGAGGCATAATTCATAGAGACAGTATACACTTTGTGTGTTAAGATAAACTAAACAGATAGTCTCTTGGATTTCAATACATAATGAAAATGTTCGTGTTCTTCTCTTACTTTCTTTCAACAAAAGTTGATAGACTCCTCTGATTTTAGGAATTCAGACCTTGAAAACCCAGAAACTAAATTTTAGAGTTTAAAAAGTCTATTAAAATGACCAAACTTCCTGATTCAAGCACCAGGGACAGAAAAAAAGATAAAACACGTCAACCAACCAACCATTTATAACCTTAAACATGCTATATGTGAACTTTAAAGTTTCAGGGGTTCGAGGTGCCTAGGCTGAATTAAAACAAAAGTTGTTTTGTATTCTATTAATAGCAGATGATTAAACACATATCTTATTTCAACTGGAATTCATTTGTTAGTACTTAAACTAACTCAGCTGGCCACTAATCCTAAGTGTATGTCTGTTTCTGGAAAAAGTCTTTCTTAACACGTTCAAGTTAAGAGCCCGGCCATCGACGCATTCCTTAAGATAGGTCAATTTCATTAAGACCTCGGGTGTTCTTTGACTCCAAGAACCTTACCAAATAACCCAAATATAAAAGCCAAGTTCAATTAAAAATTGGGAGAGGAAGGGTCTAAGGGGGAGGGTGTTTCCCTGGAGAACGCCCTGAGCCCTGCTCACCTGGCGATCCTAATTACAGGGGAGTTTCTCCCCCACATTCTTGGGCGCTTTCTTTTCTCTGAGGAAACTCGAGCTTGTGTCTTTGGTCCCGGAGGGCTTAAGCCCGGCAGTCAGGCCAGCGCGGGTCACTGATTCCAAGAAGTTGGGAGGGGGACGTGGGCCCCACCGACGCACCACAGACCCCTCCCCAACCTAAGTTGCACTGGTTGTAAAATGTGTAGCTGATGGGGATAGAGCGGCGGTCTCCAGCGCCCTGAGGGTCAGGGAAGGGAGGAGGGACAGGGAAGAGAAGGGACAGGAGAGGAGGGGGAGACACACGCGGGAGGAGGAAGAAGCTCGAGGAGGGGAAGGGAGAGGGAGGAGGGGGATGGGCAGGGAAGGACTGAGAGAGAAAGGGGAGCAGGGACAGGGGAGGAGGAGGAGACACAAGGGGGAGAAGGAAGACCCAGGAGGAGGGGAGGGACAGGGAAGAGTAGGGAGTGAATGGGGGAGCGGAAGGGCAGAAGGGGAGGTACGGGCTGGGGAAGGAAAGGGACTGGGAAGCAGCACGGGGAGGAGGGGAGGGAAGAGCAGGGAAGGTGGGGAGTGGGAAACGGAGAGAAGGGGAGGGACAGGGAGAAGGGAGAGGGCCAGAGGAGGAAGAACACGGACTGTGAAGGGCCAGGGGAGGAGTGGGACAGACGGGGCGAGGTGAAAGGAGGGGACGGGGGGAGGGGGTGGGAAGGGGAGCTGGGGGCCAGGGGAAGTACCCTCCCACGTCAAGTCCCCTTCTGACCCCCGAGGTAGAAAGCCCCGGGCTTACCCGGTAGGTGCTCTCCGTGAGCCGGTTCACCTCCTCGGGCCCCCGGGACATGGCTGCGGCAGCCGGGCGGACGAGCGAGGGCTGGAGGGCGCGGCGGGGCCTCGTGGCCGCCGGACTCCGGGCAGCGGGAGCGCCGGGGCGCGACTAAGGGACCCCGGAGTGTGGGCCACCGCCGTAGCCTTCGGCCGGAGAGTGCCAGCGCGCGCCTCCGCCGCCAAAATGTCAAAACTTGCTGCGGCGCCGCCTCGGCCGTCTGCGACGAGCAGAGAACGGCGGCCGGACGCGGCCCAGGCGAGCGGGGCGGGCCGGGTGGCCCCACCTGGGGCGGGCGGGGCGGCCCCCACCTGAGGCGGCCTGGTGGGCGGGGCCGGGCCGGGATGGGCGGGGCGGCTCCCCTTGAGTTGGCCGGGGTGGGCGGAGAGGAGGCGGGACCTGGCAGATGGTGGGCGTGGTCGAAGGGGCCCGTGCGGGCGGGGTCACCCCACCTGTGGCGCACAGGGCGGGGAGGCCACGGCGCGCCCCCTAGCGGCCCTCCCAGAGCTCAGGCAACGCAGGACCCGAAACCCTGGAGTGGGACCCGGTGCGGAGGGGGCTGCTCGCTTTGCTGTTTAGCTAGGGTAGAGGGAGCCTGGGGGTGTTTAGACTGTCGTCCTAGAGCCCTTGTTTGCCTCGCCTGGTGCTAGCCCCGGAGACCCCGAGGCCCACGCCCTCCATGAGCGCTTCCTCTAAGCCCTGCCTTTTGGGGACCAAGGGAAGAGGGGCCCCATTCCCCAGTTGTATTGATTTCTCTGATTGATCTCTCCCTGCCCCGCTGCCCAAAAGTTAGAGGAACACCTGTGGGGCATGGGCTCTCCTAGGTGGAGAAAGGCTGCCACTTGCAGTTTTGAAAGCTCCTGATATATCAAAAAGTTAATAAATGCCGAGACATAGTTACCGAAACAGTGGTACTTTTTTGTTGTTTCTCTTTAGACAGAGTCTGTCGCCAAGGCTGGAGTGCAGTGACGCAATCTCAGCTCACTGTAACCTCCGACTCCCGGCTTCAAGCAATTCTCCTGCCTCAGCCTCCCGAGTAGCTGGGATTACAGGCGCCCACCACCACACTGGGCTAATTTTTTTTTTTTTGGATTTTTAGAAGAGACAGGGTTTCACCATATTGGCCAGGCTGAACTCCTAACCTCAGGTGATCTGCCTGCTTCGGCCTCTCAAAGTGCTGGGATTACAGGCGTGAGCCACGGCGCCAGGCCCCGTGGTACATCTTTAAACTTTACGTTAACAACGACCTTTAACTCAGTGCAATATAACTGTGCTACTCACAAGATTGTTGCAGGGTTTACAAAACCACCTGAGCTGAGGTGTTAGGGAAGCCGCTCTTCTTGTCATCACTCACACTCTGTGCAGGTGTGTGGCTCCTGGGTTCCCTGTTCCCAGCCCCGGCCCTGCCAAAGGGCGAGGCAGCTGCCTTCTCTGGGCCTTTTCCAGGAGTATGTACCTTGGGCTGGATGACAACCTTCTCCCCAGTAAGAACCATGGCTTAGCACCTGAGACTCGTACCCAACAAGGGCAGGAGGTCTTACTCTGATTTTTTTTTTTTTTTTTTTTTTTTTTTTTTTTTTTTTTTTGAGACGGAGTTTCGCTCTCGTTACCCAGGCTGGAGTGCAATGGCGCGATCTCGGCTCACCGCAACCTCCGCCTCCTGGGCTCAGGCAATTCTCCTGCCTCAGCCTCCTGAGTAGCTCGGATTACAGGCACGCGCCACCACGCCCAGCTAGTTTTTTGTATTTTTAGTAGAGACGGGGTTTCACCGTGTTGACCAGGATGGTCTCGATCTCTCGACCTCGTGATCCACCCGCCTCCCTCCCAAAGTGCTGGGATTACAGGCTTGAGCCACCACGCCCGGCTATTCTGATTTTTTAAACCTTCTGGAATTGGTGGCTCACGCCTGTAATCCTAGCACTTTAGGCTAAGGCAGGCAGATAACCTGAGGTCAGGAGTTAGAGACTAGCTTGGTCAACATGGTGAAACGTCATCACTACTAAAAATACAAAAATTAACCGGGCGTGGTGGCGCATGACTTGTAATCCCAGCTACTTAGGAGGCTGAGGCAGGAGAATTGCTTAAACCTGGAAGGCGGAGGTTGCGGTGAGCTGAGATAGCACTATTGCAATCCAACCTGAGGGACAAGAGTAAAACTGTCTCAAAAACAAACAAACAAAACTTTTGATACGGAGTCTTGCTTTGTTGCCAGGCTGGACTGCAATGGCGCAATCTCGGCTCACTGCAACCTCCACCTCCCGGGTTCAAGGGATTCCTCTCCCTCAGCCTCCTGAGTAGCTGGGACTACAGGCACGCACCACCACACCTGGCTAATTTTTTGTATTTTTAATAGAGACTGAGTTTCACCATGTTGACCAGGATGGTCTCAATCTCTTGACCTTGCGATCTGCCCGCCTTGACCTCCCAAAGTGCTGGGATTACAGGTGTGAGCCACTGTACCCGGCCACAAAAAAACTTCTATCTGGGGGCCAGGCAGGGTGGCTCATGCCTGTAATCCCGGCACTTTGGGAGACGGAGGCAGGTGGATTGGTTGAGTCCGGGAGTTCGAGATCAGCCTGGGCAATATAGGGAAATAAAGACAATAGCCAGGTGTGGTGGTGTGCATCTGTAGTCCCAGCTATTCTGGAAGCTGAGGTAGGAGTATGGCTTGAGCCCAGGAGGTGGAGTTTGCAGTGAGCTGTAATCATGCCACTGCATTCCAGCCTGGGCTGCAGAGTGAGACTCTTTCAAAAAGCAAACAAAAATGCACAAACTTCTCTGTGAGTGCAATTGCATCTGTTATGGGCTAAAATGTGAGACTTCTAAACTAATCTTATGCTAAAGTTCACTAGGTAACAAACACAATGAAGGCACTGTGTGACCCAGATGGGAACACCGAAAGGAAGAGATGCCACTGGACTTAGAACAGAAACTGTCACTTGCGACTTGGGGACAGTTTTATGGGGTTTTGCAAGCTATAAAATATATCATGTGGCCAGGCGTGGTGGCTGATGCCTGTAATCCCAGCACTTTGGGAGGCCAAGGTGGGTGAATTACCTGAGGTCAGGAGTTTGAGAGCAGCTTGACCAATATGGTGAAATCCTACCTCTACTAAAAATGCAAAAATTAGCCAGGCAAGGTGGTGGGCGCCTGTAGTCACAGCTACTTGGGAAGCTGAGACAGGACAAGCGCTTGAACCCAGTAGACAGAGGTTGCAGTGAGCCAAGATTGTGCCACTGCACTCCAGCCTGGGCAAGACTCCGTCTCAAAACAAACAAACAAAAAAAACACATATCATGCTTGGGAACCAAAAGGTTATATGACCCTGATGTTAGAGGGCAAATAACACATCACTCCCAAGTTTCTGGCAATGGAAGCAGATGCCTCCTTCCTGAACAGATTTACAGTATTTAGTTTATGAGATTTGCCAACTGGGTTTCACTTCCCATACAGAAGACACATTCATGACTTTATAATCACTACCATTCGGCTCTGCAAGAACGTCTGTTGGTTTTTTATTGAAACTTGAAAATCGCCACCTTAATTTTTCACTTCACCTTTTGTCTTAGAACTTCCCTCTGTGCCTTCTGATGAATGAGATCGTTTCACCCCCTGCTGCCAGGGGGTCATTTGAGGAGCTGGAAAGAGTAGAGGCTTGACTTTTAACACCTCCGCAGCTCGGTGGTGTGGTTAAGAGCTGGAAAAGACAGAGATTAACAAACCACCATAAAATCCACAAATGGGCAGGCACGGTGGCTCATGCTTGTAATCCCAGCACTTTGGGAGGCCGAGGTGGGCAGATTACCTGAGGTCAGGAGTTCGAGACCAGCCTGGCCAACAAGGTGAAATCCTGTCTCTACTAAAAATACAAAAATTAGCTGGGTGTCAGGGTGTGTACCTGTAATCCCAGCTACCCGGGAGTCTGAGGCAGGTGAATCACTGGAACCCGGAAGGCAGAGGCTGCAGTGAGCCGAGACTGTGCTATTGTACTCCAGCCTGGGCAACAGAGCAAGACTCTACCTCAAAAAAAAAAAAAAAAAGAGGCCCACAAGTATCTCAAGGTGGCCCAATTTGATTACTGAGGTTGGAATTTGATCAAAGGACCAGGTTCATATTATATGCAAATCTTCAAACAGATATGCAATCATAGTTAATGCTCCTTCACGGAAATAACTTTTCTGGTTATGACCAAGCTACTCCTTTAGAAGTCTTTGAGAGTGGTCAGTTCCTGGTCTGTAGCAACACCAAAGGGTAGTGCAGGCTGGGCGTGGTGGTTCACAGCACTTTGGGAAGACGAGGTAGGTGGATCACATAAGCTCAGGAGTTCAAATTCCAACATCGCGAAACCTCGTCTCTACTAAAAATACAAAAATTAGCTAGGCATGGTAATCCCAGCCTAGCCAACATGGCAAAACCTGTCTATACTAAAAATACAAAAAATTAGCCGGGCATGGTGGCGTGTACCTGTAGTCCCAGCTACTTAGGAGGCTGCAGCAGAAGAATCACTTGAACCTGGGAGGAGGAGGTTACAGTGAGCCAAGATCACACCACTTCACTCCAGCCTGAGTGACAGAGTGAGACTCTGTTTAAAAAAAAAAAAAAAAACTTATTGACATTGTCACCTGCTATTGTGTCTTACAAATGTTGTTAACATAAACAAGATTTTTTACACCAGTGCCCTATGAGTTGTGATGGGGGTTATAGCCCAATAAACCCATCGTAAGTTGAAAACATCAAGTTGAAAAATGCATGTAATACACCTAACCTACCAAACATCATAGCTTAGCCTGGTGGTAGCCTGCAGCTGGCAAAACCATCTGCCACCACAGTGCGCTGCAGAGTATCAGCTGTTTACCCTGGTGATGCTGTGTCTGACCTGGGAGCTCACTCCACCTGCCCAACATTGCCAGAAAGCATCCTACTGTATATTCCTAGCCCAGGGAAAGATCATGATTCAAAATTCAAAAAAGGACACTTGCCACTGAATGTGTATCACTTTTGCACCATCATAAATTCAAACCGTCAAAGGTGAACCGTCGTAAATTGGAGATCTACTTTAATAGTGCTTAGCGCTAGCTCTGGTACGTTTAATAAAGGATCCCCAAAGATGCCCTCCAAGTCCAAATCCTCAGAACCTGTGAATGGTCATGGTACAGTTTGGCTGTGACCCCACCCAAATCTCATCTTGAATTGTAACTCCCACAGTCCCCACGTGTCATTGGAGGAACCCAGTGGGAAGTGACTCAATTATAAGGATGAGTCTTTCCTGGGCTGTTCTCATGATAGTG